AACAGTGGTTGAAATGGAATGCATATCAAATTGTGGATTATGCATAACAGATACAGTGATCTCTTGCAAGGGGTACAAAGCCAAGTTATGCTTTAGTACCCTGTTATTTAAATTGCTTGGGGTACACAAGCTCCATTCATGGAGTTGGACCTTTATCTAGGATAAACTTATCATTTATCAAGTTAAAGCTTGTAGAAAATAAACTCAACCTCAAGTAGTTTTAAGACTCTTTCTTTTGAAATGGTATATATACTTAATTTTTTAAAGGGAAAAAAAAAAATTAAGATGTTAAGGCATCTAATCACAATCATAATTAGTAAATAATTGAGGTATTAAGTTATTTTTAACTTTTATCAAATTTATTATATGATTATTATTAGACATTTTTACATTTTTAATGCAAGATGTTATGATTTTTTTTCTTTTTTAAATGTTTGATTTACTTTATGAGATTTAATTGGGCTTAAGATTGAGAATGACAAGTTGAGCTTGAATTGTGCTATAGAAGTTTTTATGCCCGAACATCTGGACATGGTATATGGTAATTTTCCAGTTTTTAGCTCTTTAGAAGAACTAGAAGCATTTTGAATGAAGGTTGCAAGAAATTTTTAATTTAATTCGTTTCAAATTAGTCCTTACTTGGTAAAAGGTTTATGAAGCAAGGGATTTAAGTTCTAGCCATCAGATTGGAGAATTGACTTGCTTTAAGGTATACCAAGATTTGACAATTTTACTCAAGCAACATGATAAAAAAAGTGCCTCCCAATTTTGCTGATTGACCCCCTTTTTCAGTAAGGAAGCTGACTTGCTGGGCAGAAATAAGGAATTGGGTATCTTTACTCCCTTATTTTGCTTTAGTTAGGTCCCAACTCCCAAATAGGACGCCCCAGGTCTTCAGTTCAAGTTTAGGATGGGTAAACAATGGTTTTGAAAAGGAATTATTATCATTTATTACGTAGTTTACCATTTAATGTATAAAAAATGGTTTTTAAAAAAAATTCTTAACTTTGTATAGAAACTTCATTTTTTTTTTTTTATGGTAAACTTTGTATAGAAATTTAGAGAGTGTGTTTAGTGTAGTTTTTAGTAACAACTTCTTTATTGTTATAGTACATATTTAAGATATCGGCCTTGTAATTCATGTTTGACTTCATGCCAGCTGAAACTGCTATACTTCTAGAGGTGCAATTGCTTGCTTTGCATCCTCATCCCATTTTGCTGAGAGTCCATTCTATGCATTTGTTCATCTGGATATCCCGGAAACTCTTGTATCCCCTAAGTCCAAGATTGGCATTCAACATACATGATTTTTGAAGCTATTCCCCAGTTTTGAAATTAATTCTTGACTTTGCCTTGGTACATTTTCAGTGTTTAAGGAACACATTGAGATCTTGAAAATTTCAAATTCAAATTGCCTTAGTACCCAGATTTTCTACTCTTTCTCTTGTTTTTTTCTTTCTTCTAACTGCTGCAGCTTCTCTCCCCACTGGTGGCTAGGATGAATGGCTAAATGTTGGAGTTCTCCTCCGTTGTGAATACTTTTTCCTCTCGTGTTGATTTCTCCCTCTTTTTTTGAGGGTTTTTGCCTAAACTTTCTTGTTATTTTTTATGGTGATTCACTTTTCTTGTTAAATGAAGATAACAACTTGAACATAATATTAGTTGGACTCAGATCAATTGTCGTACTTATTTCGATAGTTGAAGGCATGGTTAAGAACATGGTCCCTAGCTAAATGTTTCTACCCTAACCAATTTATCTTCTGATTGGATGAATTATGCTAACTTGTAACTTAATTGCTCAATCATAAGTTTGGATTTGACTACAATATTCATATAAGTATTAAATTATTTGATTTTATATTTTTACATATTTTATGAGTGTAATATCTTTTGTGTATTAGTTTTAGATTGATCCCATAACATTTATGGTTTTATTTATTAATGAAATTATATTTGTTATAAAAAAATGCCTTAATACCATTTAACTATTTATATATGGTTTTGGTAAAGTCTTGTGTATTTCAGTAATAGATTGTGTTGAGAAATGGAAAAATCAAACTTAAAAGTTTAAATCTCCAACCTTAATGTGAAATCAAAGTTTTTGATTTTTAAACATGTTAATTAGGAATTAGAGGTAACGCAAAACAGTCCAAAATTTTGAGTTTGTTTAAATTTATTGATTTCTAAAATTACAAATTATTTTATGGAAACAATATTTATCAGTTATATTTGTAAAAAATTAAATAAAAATATTTTAAAATTATATCATTTTAATAAATTATTTTTAAAAAATTAAAATATTTTAATTTTTAAAGTAAAAATAAGATTATTTTAATTTTTTGTGCATTTTATTAAAGTGTTATAATTTTAAATTTTTTATCTAATTTTTTTACAAATTTATCTGATAAATATTAATATTTTATTTTATATAATTTCATAATCCAATTATAAATAACACATTCATAAAAGTTCTGATTTGATCTCTTTTTTCTAAAACACTTACATGGATACAGTGAGTGACGAATCACACCACAAGTTTGGTCTCTTAATTAATGAGCACCAATGAATTACCCAACTTTTTCATTGCTTTGACAGGTCCCTGTGGAAAAAAGAAGAAGCAAAAACAGGCAATCACCGAACTTCCACTTTTTCATTTTTCTACCTTATCTCCAAAACCAAAGCTCTATAACGCAAGATCCAATTTCGAAGGAAAAGCCAATAATTTAAACAAAATTTTCATACACAAGTAATCAACTTCTTCATAAAATTTTCCCCATAGATTTTCAAAACAGAACTTTCCATAAGATAAGATTTAAGAAGGGATCAAGTTGCAATTAGTACTTGAAGCTATTAATAATTTTTTTTAGGCAGAAAGGGCAAATCAGCCCCTGTACTCTTCACATGGTGGCAAATCAGCCCCTCAACTAAAAATGGTGGCAATGAACCCTCAAACCCTTGAAATGGTGGCAAATCAGCCCCTATTTGATGATGATGTCATCATTCCGTGAAAACTAACGGCAAGCTCAATTTCTTTGGGCCCATTGCTTACTTGGTGGTGATTTAGACATATAAACATGAGTGGTATTACATGGACAACTTTTTTGTTTTTTTTTTATACAATTTTTACATATCATTAAATGAGTGAATGCATTTAATATCATAGATCCCACATGAATTAAAAGAACTAATTATTTTAATGACACATCAAATTATACAAAAAAGTAAAATAAAATAGTTATCCCAATAACATTTCCGTATAAACACTAAACATGGATGTCATTTGGATGACTTCGTAGTGGGGT